ATGAAGGGGTTTGGGGACATGGGGATGAAGTGGGGGTCCGTGGGCATCTGTAGTTGGGGGGTCTTACGAAGTATGCACACAAAGCTTGTACGACGTGGTCACGCACGCACACACATACACAAACAAACATTATTGTTGACTATTGATAGTTTTACCTGATAAAATGATATGAAATTAATCGTCTCTAGTTTTGGGGGGTTCTTAAATAATATGCGTTTAAAAAATACTTTTTAAAGACTACTAAAGAGGCCAGTACGTGTCTCTGATGTTACAAATGTACAGGGAATTTATTATTTTATTTTATAATAATAAACAAATTATATTTAAATTTGTTGTAAAAATTATTGTTTTATTTTCAAATATTTTTTCTGTTAGTTGATTCAAGCATTGTCTCCAACTTTAAATAAGTGTGCAAAATTTCAGATCGATTGGACAGGTAGAAGTGTGTTAAATCGATTATAAGATTTGTAGCAGACAGACAAACAAACGATAAGAAGTGAAGTTAAAGAGAAGTGTTGTAATGAAGTTGAACATGAAATGCCTGGAAGTTAAAACAAAACTTTCACAACTATTGAAGACAAGTGCTGAGTAAATTCACATTATGCCTTCCCTGAAAGAACTTCAAAAATCTTCGTACGCAGTTTTACTCTAACATCGATAAAACTTTCGCTCGGGGAGAACCAATTGACGGATGACGTAATTTCAGCACATGAACGTGAACGCTGAAACTGCAACAAAGTTTCAATTTAACACACATAATAACATTGTTTCTGGCCGACATAACAACGTTATGATAGGGATAGTATAATAAGTTGAAGATATCCTGCATTAATTTAGTGATTGAACGCACGTACGACATTCGCATGCTTTATAATTTTCATTGTTTGTCTTTGTTTTGCCGCCACTACAGAAGCGGTATTGAACTCATTGGATATGAAAAATACAGCCGATCGATTACAGTCGGTGTTATTGGTGAATATCGCTATCATCTAAATAACGATCATTTGAATCAAGATCATCTANAATATCGCTATTATCTAAATAACGATCATTTGAATCAAGATCATCTAAAACGTTATTATCGAAATCGCAATTATGTAAATCGTGTCAGGTAATAACGTTAAGTTACGCTTCACCCGTGATACTTCCAGTAGCATAACTCGCGTCACCTTCCGTGACGTCGTTGTAGTGACTAGATAATTTCCTATAGTGTACAATCTCCAAGCTGAGAGATTATTGGTCCGTTGAGATTATTGGTTGTTAAGCTGTACCTTGTCGCATAGTTAATACCGTAAATATGACGATGCCCGTGAACCTTGGCCGAGAGCTATCACACACAACTAAGATAAATAATCATCATCGTAAGCCAATTATTCATGGCCAGTCCATACCTATAAAATGTTCCGATGATTCTACGATAGTTTTACGGTAATAATAAATAATATTATTCTGTAAATCATTAATAAGAGTTAACTAAAAACGTTCCCACGCGACTTCTGGCATCATTGCCGATGTTGCCAGAAGTCGCCATCGGCCAAGGTTCACGAGCATCGTCATATTTTATATTTACGGTATTAACTATGCAACAAGGTACAGCTTAACACCCAATAATCTCAACGGATTATAATAATCTCTCAGCTTGGAGATTATACACTAGGATATTACCTAGTCACTACAGAGTTTATATAAGTTCGTCATGAGTCCTCAAGCAGTCCAAGTTAGCAACAAAATTTCAGTATTGGCCCAGACTCTATGCAGTGTGCTTGTGCTCCGGCTCCGACACTCACGTGACACTTCACTCTCGCGAGGGAATACGCGTGTTCCCTCGCGAGAGTGTCGATCTAATCATCTAACAACCTGATCTATTCCTGTATTAACACCTCGCCGTGCTTTATCTTAAATAATTAAATGTTTAGAGTTGTCACTCTTCCATTCCCCTTATTATAGCATCTGGATAATAATTTTAACAGAAATTAACTAAGACATTTCATTTAATAAATACTGGTCCCGAGTCACTGAAAAGACTTCCCGGACAATCGCGATGATCTAAATCAGGGGTCTCCAAACTATGGTCCGCGGGCCACATCCGGCCCGCCATATAATTTCATCAGGCCCGCCGGATGAAATCGTGAAATTAGTAAATAATTAGTATTTTCAAAAAATTTTTAAGATAACAAAATTTTGTAAACTATAAAAATGATTTATTCTGTCAACTGATTCGTGCATTGTCTCTGACTTCATGCAATTGTTCAAAATTTCAGATCGATTGGACGGGTCAAATTGTGTCATATATGGATTATAAGATTTGTAGCTGACGAAATTATTTTAATTTTTTTAATAATGAAAAAAAAATTATAAAATTATTTATTCTGTCAATTGATTCATGCATTGTCTCCGACTTTACGCAAGTTTGTAAAATTTCAGATCGATTGGACAGATAGAAGTGTGTTAAACATCAATTATAAGTTATGTAGAAGAGAAAATTAGATTTTTTCATTTTTTTATATAAAAAATTTAAATTTTTTAAATTATTTATTCTGTCAATTGATTCATGCATTGTCTCCAACACGTGGTACGTGGTCTACAAACGCGACGAAACAACTCTTCAAAACCCATCTATCGGCGTCGCTACTTTCAGAAAATAGTTACATATGATGGCATGACTAATCAGTAGAATAATTTCTGATGAAATACTTGCCCACGTTCTTGCACATTGTCTCCTCATTCACTCAGATGTGCTCATGACTTGAAAACGAGACCGCGGTCTGTCCTTGCGCTACTCTGGTTTGAGAAGACGTGGCGTCTGCAAAGTTGCATCCGGTGTGGGACGTTGAAATAAATTCTTCGCGATGTTATGTTGATTTCCTGGAGCATCTCGTCGCCAAAGCTCTTTGTATTTAACGATTCTCGCCTGATTTTTTGACGTTTAAGTGGACACTAAACCACGAAAAGCAATATCTTCCTATCGTAAAATGTGTCACTAAGGCACACTAGATATTTTTTAGTGAATTTCGTGCGTTAACAGTCATATGACTGTGTATTGTAAAAATTATGAGTTTTTTTCTAACATTAGGAGGTTTTCTGGATTCTTGTATCAAACTTCCTCGCTAAATCTGGTTCCTTGGCGAATTTAGAATTAATGCTCGTCAGACGGAACGTCTGAATATCGTTGTGTGTGACAATTTATGGCGTGATGGACAATTTTATTAACTCCATTTTTCATAACCCAATAAAAATACTTACGTCACTCATCTTTCCGAGACATGAATGTGCTCTGAATTCGGAGAACGGAGAAGAATAATACCGATTAACATCTCACCCCTCGCCTCCATCTCACCCCTCGCCTCCATCTCACCCCTTGCCTCCATCTCACCCCTCGCCTCCATCTCACCCCTCTCCACCATCTCACCCCTCTCCACCATCTCACCCCTCTCCACCATCTCACCCCTCACCCCGCTGCTACGTCAAGGCCATTTCCCACCACGTGTAAGACGCTCCGACATGACGCAAGAATTTTGCTGCGGCGTCCAAGTTTGCTGACCCTGACTACCGCATTGTCGGGCCCAGCCATACTTTCAAAGCCTGCTAAGTGACCGTAATTACTTACGCTCTATTTTCTTGTCTATGATTGGTGGAATTTGCCTGAAAGGCGGTGAATGATTGGCTGATGAATTTACGATCTCTTAACTTTTTTTGAAAGAGAAAAAATCTTTGCTCTTTGAGCACTAGCTCTCGCTCTCGCTCTCGCTCTCGCTCTCGCTCTCGCTCTCGCTCTCGCTCTCGCTCTCGCTCTCGCTCTCGCTTTCGCTCTACTACCGCTTTGACGAGATTAGAAGTTTAGACCCGCGTAACACTAGAGGTATGAGAAAGATTATTGAAATACTTGGGATATATCACAATGTATATAACCACGGGTACGAAGATTGAAGGATTGACGAAAAGAGGCACTCGCATTTTCAATGTTTTTATATATTCCAGTGATTCAAAGTAGTTTCCACTTCCAAACTGATATAAATTTTCTTATAGTATATTCAAGACCTCAACGATATTTGCCAACTGTGTTGAATTTCTAATAGATATGATTGTTATTTTTTATTTCAAATTAATTTATGATCTAAATAATATCACGCAATTCGTCACTTTCGGAGAAGCGTTCTCTCTTAGTAAAATAAGACCCCCTTTTCAATCAATATAATAATGTTATATAATAAATGGACAGTTATCACTCGACTAACATATATGAGTACGCACCTAAAATTCCTAACTAATAAACTTTGTTTAGCGGGTTCCATTAAATCTTTAACTTGACCTTAACTTCACTTTAACAGAAGTGCCAAAGAGTTCACTTCTCGTGGTGCATATGAACTTTGTGGAACAGCGGCGACCATTAAATTTGTTAATTGGTGCGGTTTGCGACCATTGATGCAGCTGCGTTTTAACTTAAAATTGTAAACAGCATACTTCTGTTCAACTTCACTTCTATAAGCAGTACAAGTGCACTTATTTTTTTATTTAATAAGGTGAGCTCTATACCTAGAAATAAAATTGTTACATTTCCGTAATTGAATGTTTTAGCAATATTTGTCATCAAGCGCGTTAGTAATAAAGTCCTTTCCTCGTACAGTATACGTACATACTGGTCGGCTTCTGTAACCGCCTGGACAACTAAACTGTTCTACATTTCGAGTGACCTACGATAAAGTCTGGGATTAAAACTGAACTCCAAGCAACGATTACATCTGATTGAATTACTTCAATTGGCCTCGATTTGTTTTGATCATTTTGAAATATTGGCATTACATCTAGAAGAGGCTTACCTCCAGCGTAAGGAGAAAATTCCCTACACCACCACCAAATCTCACAAACAAAAAAAAAATAAACCAAAAATAACTTTGAACTTTCCTGAATTGATGTCACTTTCCGTGACATCAATTCAGGGAGTTTATTTATATAAGCTCTTCATGAGTCCCTCAAACATCCCAAGTTTACACCTAATGAGGCACATCAAGTTTAATGATGGTCAAGGATTGACCGCCGATCCGGAGGCCGGTAACAACATCAAGGTAATTATAATACTAAATTTAAACTTTATCGTCACATTTTTTTATTGAATGAATGAGTTCATGATTTTTTTAATATAATTTACTCTAGCTTTTAATGAAACGAAATATTTGATAATTCTTATACATTATTTCGTTTCACATGCATTGATTTCACATCACACTTTCCACTTTATGAATTTTTGATGTCAGTTTCACCGTGAGCATGAAAAAATTCTAATAAGTACTATTTCATTTTATGTTCATTTTGCCATCTTTCATTGCATGTTTATTTGTATTGCTTATGTCTATCTCATACAAGATTTTCTTGTTTCAAAGTTGCAAGACTCTTGGCCACGTTTTTGGATTAAGATCGTAACCGAGCGAGTTCTTCAATCATTCACGTTGTGCAGTGCGAAACATTTTTATAATGAATTCCGCCTGCAAACACGTGCTGGTGTCGTGTTTACTCCATCATCTATAGATTGAATTAATTTTATTTTAATTGTTTGGAAAAAATGACAAGCACGAGGAATTCGGCTGACCCGCGGAACCAATAATTTTTTCTCTTGTTATTTTTATATATCTCTATAGAGTAGAGTCAAAATACGAGCGCAGCAATTTCTTACCTATATATGCAGTAATCCCTCACCTAGGCTATACTGTAATCCTTCACCTATACAGTAATTCCTCAACTATACAGTAATCCTTCATCTATAGGGTAACACGGGGCAGCGGGCTCCCCCCTCTTTTTTAAACTAAATTTTTGATGAAGTTTTAATTGATACGAGGTGGTTCTTTGTTTTGTTTTAAGTTACAACTAATGAGGAATGTCTGATGTGAATTAGACGCCTATTGAATTATTGAATTTTTATTGAAACACTATTTCGTAAAAATTGTCAAAATGGGTCCATTGCCCCACCCACCCCTGGGGCAATGGGCCCATGGGCTTGGGGGAAGGCTCCCACCCCTGGTCTGGTCCCTTTACCACAATTGCATATTTTTTGCTTAAGGGGAGCGTCTTGGTCCGAAAAAAACTTTTTTCTTTACAGACGGATCACTTCAAAATTTGATACACGTATGTAAAACGGTATTTTAAGACTTTTTTGTTCGTGTGAATTTTTCCAAAAAATGGAGGAAAACGTGAAATTTTTAGAAAACGGCCAAAAAAGGGGGTAATGTAGAAATCTATCTCCTCCCAGGATTTTCAAGCTACAACATCAAGACACATATCATTCGATGCGTAAAGACCATATCTACAAATTTGCACAGGCGCGTTTTGAAATTCCCATTTTTGTGGGTGTGGGAGCAGTTTTCGTAAATTTTTGGAAATCTTTTAATATTAACCCCCCCCAACCCCCCTTTTTGCAAAATAAAATCCAAACTATAACGAAACTAGAAAAAACGCCTGCGCAAATTCGAAGATTTGGTTGATGCAGCATCCGCTTCATCACTATTTCCATACATGCACCAAGACGGAACCCATGCAGAGCGCAGAACCAAGTTGATCCTGATGCCATCGACAAATTCAAGGTTGTCCTTCCACTGAGTTCCTATCTGAGCTCGCTTTGCGTTATAATTTTAAATAACGACGTCTCTGTAAGATAATTTGGGTCTGATTTTCCCCCAAAAATTTGTTAATCTGCTCATTATTGAATTATTCTTCACTATTGTCAAAGATTTCTTCCTGGCAACCAGTTTCTAGGCAATTTTTGTTTAGGATCTTGATTTCTGACAATGTTCTATGAAATGAACTCTTTTTATTTTGGCTTATGAGATTTTGGATTCATTTATATATGGCCTATTCAGCGACACCATACTTCAACCTCTTTTAACCTCCTGTTGAAGGTTCAGGATTTCTTACATTCTTTTACACTCAGATAACTTCATTCAATCATGATGAATATCTAAGAATTTGTCAAAACTTGAATTATTTTATAGAGAATAAAGTTACTGTGTGGTCGGGTACCTCAAGGTTGTATCGTGTCAGTTTTTTTCTATCGTAATTTTTAATAACTTTTTTCTGTTTTTAAGTGACCATAAGCTTAGCTAATACGTGCACGCTCCCTCTATACTTCATAGCCTGCACGCTTTCTAACGGCAAAGAGCAGTAGGCCCAAGTCAAAAATTTTAGCTATAATCCAAGATTACATTTAATATGTCACAAAAGTAAACGTCACCTCATTATTACATGATTCAACATGGAAGAAAATAAATCTCGTATCTTTAACCACCCAGGTGACCCGAGCGGACTTCATCTACTCCCTGGAGAACGACGTGAAGCTTTCCCTTGGCACCAGCGATGAGGTCCTCGACGGGTTCATGGAACGCGGCATCATCAGCTGGGGCCACACCAGGGACCTGCTGGAGCGAGGCCGCTTGGTTGTTCAACAGGCCCGGTAAGCAGGCTTCCTATTCATGTGATATTCATCATAATTTAGTTAAAACACTTTGTTTCGTTTAATTATAAGTTGTAGTGTATTTTTGAATATAGGTAGTAGCTCTGAAAGTCTGCTGATATGTCTGCATCGTTTACTGAGCGAAATATGATCCATAATGTTTTTCGAGTCTTCCACAATTGTTCGAGAATCAATTGATAACACGCGAGTCACTGTAGACTCATGTCCAACAGACAACCATTCATTACTATTTACGTGCAGGTCCGCAGACATGAACCAAACTGCTGGAGGGCGCCTGTGTCTGCTGCTGGAGGGCGCCCCTACGGCGGGCACCTCGGCCCTGGCCGCTTACCTCGCCAAGAACAGCGACTTCCCCTTCGTCAAAGTGATCACATCGAGCGAGATGGTCGGGTAAGTTCCAAAGGCCGGATCCCTTGTGAATCAAGTCACGAAAAATTCAAGAATCGGCAACAGGCCATGGGCCTATTTCTTCAACGCCGACACTTCTATTCTATTCTATTCTAATACATCATGATAACTCGGTATGCTAAATACATAGGTTAATACGTCATGATAACTCGGTATGCTGAATACATAGGTTAATACGTCATGATAACTCGGTATGCTGAATACATAGGTTAATACATCATGATAACTCGGTATGCTGAATACATAGGTTAATACATCATGATAACCCGGTTGCTGAATATGTAGGTGGCACTCCAGCGTGGCCTGAGACTGCTATAGGTCACAAACATATACCAAAGATAAGGGGTCTTGAAATCAATTGGCGCCGAAATAGAAAGCCCGCTAACAACAACTCGCAATTGGTCAATGCAAATTTAAAAATCGGCCTCAAAAATGCCGGTCGTTTCTCCGTATATCCGTATAACTCGCAACCGAAGGAAAAATCGAGAAAATTGTCACGAGCTAAACATCACCGCTGGGAGGTCAGGTATTTATATAAGAAGTTTCGTTTAAATCTGTTCGGTAGTTTAGAAGAAATTTCTTGATCACTGCTAATTTAAGCACTCTTTGCTGTTTGAATCACGAATGAAGGTGAAATGGAGAAAAACTCGAGAACGAAAAATTTTTTTAAATCAAAAAAATTTTAAGTGCAAAACATCACCGTTTGCTAATCAGAATGTATATTTGGAATTCATATATATTCAGTAGTTTGGAAAAAATTCCTTGATCACTGCGAATTTCGGCCCGTATCGCCATATAACTCACGAATGGAGGTGAAATTCAAGAAATTCTCACGAGCCAAACATCACCGTTAGGTACTAATGAATACGTGTACCAAGTTTCATCGAGCTACATTCATTAGTTTGAGAGATATTCCTTGATCATTGAATTTTGCAGACCGGCCGCGAGTCCGGCCGTAAAATTGGCCGAAATAAATTGTATGTAAATTTTACTTCCATTTTTTTCCCGCTGAAGCTCATTTTTTTCGTGCTGAATGAGTTGAAAGTATATACACTAGATTTAGCGGGAAAAGCTCAATTGGCAACACTGGTATAGCCTGGTATATAGGGTATGAATGCATGGACGTACAGGTAGAATGTAAGAAGAGAGGATATGTTTTATGTGTGACAGAGGTGAGAGGGAAACTGTGGAGCATCTGATGATGGAGTATGCTGTATGCATGATGCATACGAGAGGGAGAGACTGGAAATGATGAGAGTGATACTGGATGAGAGGGATGAGGATGATGGTTTGATGAATAAAAGAACAGGAGACGAATGGATTGCAATGATAGTGGCTTAGTGGGCCTGTCCGCAGGGGTGACTGCTGCTGTGACTATGAGAGTGGGAAGCGATATTTGGAGAAGGCATGGTGAATGAGGGAGAGGAGGAAGAGGTTGGCGAAAATGGAGACCGGAAGGGTGTAAGGAAACAAGCAATAATAAAATGAAAATAACTATAACAATAATAATGTAATAGGCACGAATGATTATTTAGGGCCTGAGAGGTACCAATATTCAATATAAACCATGACTATACAGTGCAGTGGGACATAGCCAAATATTATAGACCAAATAACTTTGTTCGCGAACTTCTTTCCCATGTTTCCATCTCACTCTCAACACTAACTTTCCCGCCCCTCTAGCCTTTGCTAAAATATCATCGCTACCTAACCACGTTTCACTTTTCTCCTACTAACAAAACAAACATATGACGCGTTGCAGCTAGCCGATATAAAGGCATGACCATGACAGTGTTCTTCAGGGTCGCCACGCCTCAAATCCATCTTACCCCTCGCCTCCATCTCACCCCTCTCCTCCATCTCACCCCTTGCCTCCATCTCACCCCTCATTTAGGACTGACTAGAAAGTAAATGTTTTGCCACGGTCGAGCTTGAGGAAAAAATTGATTTAAATTGTTTAATTGGAAGTTTTAGACTGATTTATGCCCATTATGAAAGCTCTCCTATGAAATTTATTTGAGTTAAATCTGTGTGTAAGTGTTCATGAATGTTCGAGTTTCTATTGTTTGACTATTAATTGATATCCATATACTTCCATAGTATTATCAAAAGATCTTTATTCTAGAATGCTCGGTGCACCATCACAAACTCACAAATTTTCTTTTGCTATAATTCTTCAAAAATCAAATCAACATATTTAAGTGACAGTGCACAAATTAGTTGCGTCCAATATAACAATAAAAAGAGACCAAATCGACTCGTAGGATCACAACGATTAATACAATTAATTTTATACGCCACACAAATTAATTTTTAATCTTAAACCCACTAAACGGCCAGGTTGATGTGATGTTGCTGGTATGGTGGCTGGTCGTGCTGCTGTAGGTGTTTCGGGCAGCTGACATGCGACATGCATGCGTCATGCGGCTGGGAGTGAAACTTCTCGGTGTGCGCTCACGGCTCAACAGCAGATTTGCTACATGCGATATACGTTGAACTTAGCTCATCAAATTGCGTAATGCAACAAGAAAACGAGAGCATACATAGTTTTGCTAATCAACCACCAATGAGATCACGTTCTTTGAAAAATTCATTTTACCAATTGCGCAAGAACAAACTGCCATATATACATGCTGAATGCCATAATATGTCATTTAGCATGTCATGTAGAATATGGAACGCTAAAAAAATAGATCAGTACTCACTGCAGTGAATGACAGAAAGCAATCGAATCCGACAAATCGTAATTCAGATCATTATTACACGAATTAAAGTTAAAAGGAAAATTTCTGCGTCAAATGCTTCCGAATAAATAACAAACAGAACTTGTTGTAAAATCTTTCCCGTTACGATTCAATTAGGTTTGAATTTAGAAGAGTTTTCAGAAGATTAGAATTTTGGTGTTTGAGTACAGTAATAGATTCCCAAGCCTAGTTTAGCTATATAGATTCATCCCTAGCTTGTTAAAACGCTCAACTTGCGTTAAAAGTACCGTAACTTCACTCGTTTATTTTTAGTTCTAAACGTATTGAACTTAACCTGGCCGAAAAATTATATTTGTTTCTTTCATACGTATAACGTCAGTTTATTTTTAGTTGTGAATAAAAAGTGAACGTAGTAAGGACGTTGAATAGGTTTAAGACGATTGAGTTATTTTGCAGCCGACGCATCAGTGGAATTCCGACCAGCGCCCTGCCTAAACTCGTGACCTTGAAGAAACCAGGCTAACCAACGGGATTGCTCAAATACCGCTTAGCTTTCTGTTCAACCTGCATTATCTTACCCCACCCAGCCGATATTACTCTTCCTCATGTCAGTTTGATCGCTTACGAGAAGCCTAGCGTAACTCTAATCGAGGTTTTGTTAATGAAGCCAATAAAAACAAGTGAATCTTAGTCCTGATGTACTACTATTCTATTCGAAAAGTACTATTCTTCGTACTAGAATGGTACGAAGTACTATTCTATTCGAGCGGGGTAGCGTGTTTGTATTCTAGAGCAGCGTTCGCTCAAATTGCGTGGTACACTACGATTAACCCCAACGTTACTGGGAGAACTTTTTGTCATGACTGAGAAATGGGTATATAATGGATACGTTAAGTAGATTCCAAGAACTCATAGGATCAACAGTTTGCTATGAAGCCTTAAAGTATACAGATGTAATGACACATTGCAAATAGAGTGTAAACAATTAGGAAGTAATTTATGTATTACATGTTTGTTCAAACAATGGTTTTGAGAAAAATTGGAATACATATACATTTGCAAACATAAATTTTCGAAAAAAAACATCAATGCTGAATTAACTTTTACTATATTAACTTTTACTTTTTAAATATAACTTATCTCATATCGTTTAATAAGTACAGTGGACAAAAGTGGACTAATAATATAACGTGTTAACATTAATCGGATGTTACGCAGCTGTGGTGAAAGCACTTACTGTGAGCGCCAATTGTAAGAAATTTGCACAATGGAATTCTTATTTTATAAATTTATTTAATTAATCAACGGTGAACAAGAAACAATTAATCGCCATAATTGTTTGATTATTTATGGATTTGACACAATACTTTTTGCACGAGAGCAACGCATACCGCGGTGGCCAGGAAGCCCTTTTCTTGCTTCTTATTCGCTACCGCTTCCACATCACGCCATTCAAGGCCGGTCCACACGCTCAGTTTTACACAACGATTTGGCTGCACAGTCTTATTAAGTCACAATGAAATCATTGCAATTTTTAGAGCGTACACATGGTGCCGACGTATCTGTGTAGTTAGTTCAGTTTTGTGCGATCTCGCCCTGGAGGAGATAGTACGTATAGTTATCGGAAATATTTCCGGTGTCTGCCAACTGCACTTGTCCCGTCTTGTGTGTTGCGTCATCCATTGAATGCTGTCGAATTTAAGCCCCATGTGTGTTCTTAACTAGTATGATATTTTGAATACTTAAATGAACTGTATCCTACTTGAACTAAGACCTCTTTTTAATCCAGAAAACGATTGTATTTGGTTTATTTGATTTTCACTGTGATTGCTTTTTGAAGAAACTTGAGAATGATCTCAGAAGACCATATAATTTTACCATTTGGACCAATTACGGAATGAATCTACTTTGTTCGGAAATTTTGCGGCTGTGGAATAAATCTAATTTGTTCTGAAATTTTGCGGCTGTGGAATGAATCTACTTATTCGGAAATTATTATGAAATCTCGCGGCTCTATATTCATGTAATTTTATTGTATTGGTAATGGTGTGGCCCCAAAGTGGGTGACGTGAGGGGGCAATCCCTCGACAAGACCAAGGGTGGCAATTGCCGGCTATGAAAGAACGTGTGCATGCGCCGGCCGATGAGTAAGCAGCGTTGTTGCTGGCTGCAGGTGCTGCTGCTGCAGCTGAGTGCAGTCCTGCGGCTGCAGTAAGTCAGCAACCCGTCAGTTGACTTAAACCTGTTGCTCCGAGTGGTTGTGTATGTAGTGGT